AAAGGGCCAATGCTACTGTTAAATTGGTCCTGACCCCTGTTATGGCCCCCTGTTCTGAAAACATACACTGCAAAAATGTAGATTTAAGTCATTTGTTCATAAAATAAGTGCATATTTCTTTGTTTGAGCACATGGGTAAGGCAGTGAATTTACTAATGGATAGGAAGATGATGTTATTTAAAGCGTAAAATATCTAATAATCTTATTTTAAGGGGGAAATTGTTAATTACTTTGGCAGATTGTCTCATTTACCTGCTCAAATGAGGAAAATATGTAATTATGTAAATAAACTTCTACCTATTTTAGGCAAATATTTCAGTGTTTTAAACTGCTACTGAATCAATTCCTCATGATGGTGTGGGCTGACAGAAGAGTCCATAACTGATTCTTTCTTTGGACCAGTTTAATATTTTGCCTTTATAATTCACTTTATTAATCATTTAGAAGAAAAAAAAACATATTGGGTATTAGGCTGAGGGTTGCTGCTATATCGTGCAATCAGAAACACTTCTCCAAGAAAATTGACCAGAAAATGTAGACACTTCCTCTATCATGTGGATATTTCAAAACACTCAGGAAACGCACCAACGAACACCCACATGTTTTTAGAAAGCTGGACCCATCTGCAGGATGCAGCTTCCCGCAGATCACAAGTGCTCCATGACAGGAACTGATCACATCCATCACTGCAGGCTGCAGAGAGTCTGCTGCTCAGCCAATAACAAGCAACTCAGTGCAAAAAGAACTACCTCTATTGTATATTTATTTTCTCCAGATTTAGTTAATTGAGCTTGCAATAAATAAATAAAAAAATAAAAATAAAAAAAATTTCCTCTTACTTTTATTTTCTCTCCATCAATCTCCAGCGCTCTCTCGCGAAAGTCCACGCCGATCGTGGCCTCTGTCCTGCGTGGGAACTCTCCTGCGCACAGCCGGTGCGTCAGGCAGGTCTTCCCCACCCCGGAGTCTCCAATCACCAAGACTTTAAAGGTCCGACAGCGGCTGAGCAGGGAGGACACGCTGCCCAGAGAGCTGGAGAACTCCAGAGATGAATCCATGGAGCTGACTTCCACGCAGATCCAAACTCCTCTGACTCTCCTGACTAAGATCCGTCCCTTTTTGGGGAGAAGAAGCTGCTGAGACGCGCTCCACGGCGCAGGAGAGCAGCGTGGGTGAGAGAGGGGAAGGAGTGGGCCGTCTCATTTGCACGCCTGTGTTTGATTTGACAGCATGATGATGATGAGGAGGATGAGGATGATGATGATGATGATGATGATGATCCAGTCCTGACCCAACATGTTGATGAGCGACGTTTTAAAGTCACTTTACTTTTTTTTGTCTAAAAAAAATTATTATTCTGTTTCTGATCATTTGTGTTATTTAGAAATAAACTGCAACCTTGGACTCTCTGAAAAGTCCAAATACACAGATATGGCAACATAAAACAATCACAATTTTAAACTTTTCTTTTTAAAAAAAACATCTAGAAAAGTTTGCATATTCAAATTCAAATTTGAACGTCTGAATTTCAGACTAAGATTGAAAACATTACTACACAGTAAATTTTGCAGTAACACATTAAGGGTGCATTTGGTCTCATTCTGAATTAGTGTTAAATTAGAATTCTATGTAGTGTGTATTTTACTCCAGTTGTTATTGTAATAACTCTAAAAGAGTCAATGTACTTTGACACTGCATATTTAACACTGTGAAATTTACTGTGTAAGATCACATACCCATATTGGAAGCAGAAAAAAAAAGGATTAAGACTGCAGACACCTTAGAAATGTATTCAACCTTTGTTTTATGTTTAACATTTTTGGACATCCAAGTGATAATAATCTAACAACCCCCAGCTGTGAATCCTAAAATGGACTAATCACTTCTCATAATGCAAAACATCTAGAAATTCAATATTCTATGTTAGAGATTAGGAAGGAGAACAGGTGGAGCTGAAAAGTGGAAAAAAAAAAATAGAATAAAACTGGTTATGTCAAAATAGCCTGAAAGCCTCCATGTTTTGTGAATAGCCCCATATCATAAATTAAATTAGTTTACATATTTTCATGTAAAACCAATCACATTTGTTTTTAATTTGAAGAAAAAAAGAAGATTGCGCACATGCGGCTCCAGTTCTGCTCTACTGGAGCACAGGTTTCTGTCCTTAAAAGGTGAGAACAGCTGATTAGTCCAAGGCTGTGAGCATAACTTGTTCATTATGTAAAAAATATGTGATTGCTGCAGCACAGAGACACGCTTCATTTCAGAGCGCAAAGCACAGTGATCCTGGTGTGTCTTTGCGCAGAGAGAGGATAGAAGTGGATCAACCCAGCACCAGAAAACTGATTAAAATGATAAAGATAGTTCATGAAGTGGATGTTTACTCTAACAAGCCATGCAGCACATGGAACAGAAAGCAGATGGACTTTCAAACTTCAAAGTTCTGGATGTGAGAGGAGGGAGGATGAACCTAACCCACTTTATGAGCTGGATTTAACTTATTGAATTACAGTGAGGAAAATAAGTATTTGAACACCCTGCTACTTTGGAAGGTCCTCCACTTAGAAATCATGGAGGGGTCTGAAATGATCCTCATAGGTACATGTCCACTGTGAAAGACATAATCTAAAAAAAATAATTATAAAAAATCCAGAAATCATAATGTATGATTTTTAACTATGTATTTGTATGATACAGCTGCAAATAAGTATTTGAACACCTCTCTATCAGCTCTAACTCTGACCCTCAAATACCTGTTAGTCTGCCTTCAAAATGTCTACCTCCACTCCATTTATTTTCTTAAATCAGATGCACCTGTTTGAGGCTGTTAGCTGCATAAAGACACCTGTCCTCATACATACAGTCCCCTTACAATCAGTAAGAGTTCAACTACTAACATGGCCAAGACTAAAGAGCTGTGCAAAGACACCAGAGGCAAAATTGTACACCTCCACAAGGCTGGAAATTGCCATGCAGCTTGGGGGGAAAAGCCTCACAAATGGACGGAGTGAATGGAGTGTATACAAAACTAAATTTGATGGAGCAATCATTAGAACATGGAAAAACTAAACATGATTGTCAATCTCCCTCAGACTGGGGCTCCATGCGAGATTTCACCTCATGGGGTCTCAGTGATCCTAAGAAAGGTGAGAAATCAGCCTAGAACTGGTACTGTTGGCACTGTTGTTAATACACTAAGAAGTATATGGTTTAAATCATGCATAGCACAGAAGGTACCCCTGCTTAAAACAACACATGTCAAGGCCCGTCACAAGTTTGCCAGTGACCATTTGGATGATCCAGAGGAGTCATGGGAAAAAGTCATGTGGTTATAACAGACCAAAATAGAACTTTTTGGTCATAATTCCACTGACGGAGGAAGAAAACTGATGAGTACCATCTCAAGAACACCACTACTGTGAAGCATGGGGGTGGTAGCATCATGCTTTGGGGTGTTTTTCTGCACATGGGACAGGGTGACTGCACTGTATTAAGCAGAGGGTGACCAGGGACATGTATTGGGAGATTTTGGGGAACAACCTCATTCCCTCAGAGCATTGAAGATGGGTGGAGGTTGGGTCTTCCAACATGACAATGATCCAAAGCACACAGCCAGGATAACCAAGGAGTGGCTATGGAAGAAGCATATCAAGGTTCTGGCATGGCCTAGCCAGTCTCCAGACCTAAACCCAATAGTGAATCCATGTTTCTAAGCGACAGCCCAGAAATCAGACTGATATAGAGAAGATCTGTGTGGAGGAGTGGGCCAAAATCACTCCTGCAGTGTGTTCAAACCTGTTAAAAAAAACAAAAAACTACAGGAAACGTTTGAACACCGGAATTGCAAACAAAAGCTACTGTACCAAATATTAACTTTGATTTTCTCATATGTTCACACACATTTATTTGCAGCTGTATCATACAAATAGTTTAAAAAAATCTTATATTGTAATTTCTTGATTTTTTTTTACGTCTCACACAGTAGACATGCAGCTACGATGACAATTTCAGATCCCTCCATGATTTCTAAGTGGGAGAACATGCAAAAAACAGCAGGGTGTTGAAATGCTTATTTTTTATCATTAGTTTGGGGCAAATCAAAGCATGTATTCTCAAAGAAGCTTAAAAGGTCATTTAGATCATCCCATAGATGCAGTCAGTTTCAGACACAAGTGTTGTTCAATTGACTAGGAAAATATAACCTATGTACAGGTTCCAGTAGAATTAGTGGAACAGTAACCTCTTCTCATCCATATTCTGTTATTAGAGGTACAATATTAAAACAAATACCTTAAAGCAATTATTTAAATATATAATTCATTTGTCTACCGTTTAATTTTCTGAATGGTATGTGAAATTATATAATCTAATAAAGCAAGGATAAAGTTTTACTCAATGTAAAATATGCATACCATTTAATGTATCTTAACAACTGAAATATTAATAGTAATTGAACGACAAAATATGAGGGACCAAGAAAGATCTAGGATGAGGTAGTTTATCATTTAGGCTCACAAGTTGACACCTTTTTCTCTACAGAGCATATTTAATACTAAATAGCTCACTAATAGTTCACAATGTTCAATGCAAAAACAAAAAAGGCATTGTTAAATGCTTCATTTAACATTTTAACAGAACATATGCAAAAAGTTTCTTTATAATAAGAATGTAGGGCTGAAAAAATGCAGAAAAAAGCAAATTTATATAAAAAAGAAAGCTTTCAGAAACAAAATATATAGATGTGCTTTTGGGATCTCACCATTTGGCTAAGAGATATTTTTAAGTTAACTTTAAGTCAGTTACTGTTATTGCCTGATTTTCATATAACTTGTTCATTAGAATTAGAAAAGTAAAACCAGATACATTTTATTCTAATATAGACTTCATTATTTCCTTTAGCCAAATTGTTTTTCCCCCATCAATCCTAAACTCTGTGGTTTTAAACCTTTAAAAACATTCCTCAAACATCACAACCAGAAAAGTTGTTGTAAACCTTTGATGCGTGATAAACAACTTACAGCAAAGCATTTTTATTGCAGCAGCAAAATGTAGTACTTTGAATATTTTGTTCTTTTCAAAGTTTTACAGATGTTTTCTGCATTCTTCCCAATATGTTCCAGTACACCATTTCTTTCTTTGCTCTTTAAAGATTAGTCAGGAGGTGAATTGTGTCGACTTCTTTAACAGGTAGCAGGACATTAAAACCTGCAGCTCCATATAAATTACACAGAATAAACCTTTCTCATTCAGTGAGCATCTATAATCTCACTGAGTTAATCTGTGAAATGGAAGATGAAGGATGCCACGCTCCGATAATAAGGATGAGACTGTTAGTACCTCAGTGAAGGCTGAATATTAAACTCTATATTCCACCTAAATGCTAAGAAATTGCAAGTAAATCATAATTTTTTCTACATGAGTGACATGTTTGTACAATTTAAAATGAGGATTATTTCATGCTTAGTTACAAGGGCTGTTGTGGCATGAGGGGCTCCACTGGGTAAATAGCGCCACCATCTGTTAGGACCAAGGGAAAATAAATCCCTGTATGAATCTGCTAAGAACAAGTAGAAACAGACATGAGGAAAATGATTGGAGCATCCTTTTTTCTTCTATTTAATATTAACATTTTATCCTTTTTTTTATGGTTCAGCAAATAGCAACTCCTGTATCATGCAAGTTAGAATATGGAATATATATATAATCCATATCCCAACTTTCCTTTATAATGTGTATATAGCTTTAATGTTGATTTTATAGCCTCTAACAATTTATAGCCTCACAACTAATTGTTTATACCATTTATAGTCCATACATGGTCTCTGTACACATGTAAATAAATCTTTATATCCTGTATAGCACTTCTGGATAAATGCACTAAACTATATTTTGTTGGTTTGTATTCGTGACAGTGTAATGACAAATTTAAACTCTCTTCTAAAACAGAAAATCAAAACACTTAAAAGTTGTTTGGAGCAGTACTATACCACAGCTTTTAACGGTAGAATGTTGGCAGCTTTGGTTACTATCATTGAGAACACTAAAATGATGGTATGTTATTAGCTTAATTTAAATTCTAAAATTATAGAGATATTTATAAGTCTGAATATTTTCCCTGTGAACCGTCTTAGTAACATGCATGTGCTGATCTAAAAAAAAAAAGAAATTGTAAAAAAAAGTTAGCTACTTTTTTTCATATACTTTTCTAAACCAATGTACCATTAAAAATTAGATTTCCATGACCTGTGTACAAGCTGAGATATTCAGCATTACTTCTCCATCCTGGTAATAAATGTTATGTATAAACATACGGATAACCCGTGTAGCAATCTTCTCCTCCTCCTTTGCAGCTGTTGGTCTCCAACTCACCGTACGCCTGCATTAAAATCTCTGGCTCCCGTTGTGTGAAATGAGCAGACTTCCTCTTGCTTGTTGTCAGGACAACTTCTCAAATAGGGGCTCTTAGGGTTTCCAACCTTAGACTAGATCAATCCATGTTGACTCTGCTTCATTAAAGAGACACCCAGAAATTGGGTGCTTCAATAACTATTCAAATTATTTACGCATATAATTTGGTCTGTGGAAAATGAGGGAATATTTAGTAAAACAGGCCAGAAATCAGCCAAATGAACTATTTTGTTACAATTTATATTCAAGCTGAATCTGCCTGCTTACGTCCAACACTCAGTCTAAATGTTAAAATCTACCCAGAGGAGCTGACTTTTTGCCATAAACAGAGGGGACTGAGAAACATACACAAAAAGTCTATTTTTTTTGTTTCTTTTTTTAATACAAAAATCCAGAGATATCATACATCACCACCTCAGATTTCATCTTTCACATTAGAACCCAAATGAGAGGAAAAAGGGGAAGAAAACAAGTTCCTGAAGCTGTCGGGAACAGAGGAGGTAAAATCCTGTCATGATGTTCACACTTTCTTGCTCAGTGACGTCTGACCGTTCCAAGGATCACCTGAACCACAAGCTCCCTCTGAAGGACATGTTAAAATGCTCATTTCATTTTCAACAGAGAGCCAACATGCAGATAAAACCATTTCTAAGTGTAACAACAACTACTCACGGGCCTCTTCCTGTAGGATCAGTGTAAACAGCCCTGCAAAGCGTTCACTGTTACACTGGTCCCGTATAAACAGGGAGGCGACTATGGTATTGCTTCGGTTTTACCCATCTCTGTGATAGCCATGTAGAAAACACAACAACACAGTAGCAGTGTATTGGAAACAGAGCGCAACACAATCTTTACAGTTTTTATTCTGTGCTACAAGGTGCTCCAGAAGAACAGACAGGGTTACATGTTCCCAGGTTGAATCCGGAGCGGGTGAAGGAAGCACATTCTGATGGAAAGCCGTCTTACACGTTGCTGTGTCTCCGCGGGGATTGGGCCTTTCTCCCGTTCTCCACAGACACTGAAGTGAGTTTTACAGCAGATACAGATACGCCTGAAGCAGCTGATGTCCTCAGTGAATGATTTCTATTCAGCTGGTTACAGACCAGAGATCAAATCTGCTCAGTCCCACATCATAGAGTGACAGCCGTGTCCCGTTTCCATATAAATTAAGATATTCTTTTTAAAATAATGGGAACAGATTATGCTATAATTGTGTGTTGGAGTCCAACTCGAGCGGCTTTATTCAACATCTTGGCCAAAACCAGCAATCTGTGTCTTTGTATCACAGTTTCTATATCTGTTTTGCAATGACTTATTTTCAAGTTAAACTTGGTAGCAGGCTGTTAAAAAAGTAAAATGTTTGCTCCGTCATCTTCCTCTTTCCCCTCCCCTCTTAACCAACGAATATGTACGCACGCGTTCAAAACACACACACAGTCCTGAAGTTCACCCACGCAGGAGAGAGCCAAGCCATGCCAGGTCAGACCAAATTAAGCTGAGCCATATGATCAAACACCCCTATTTGCTTTCTTTGTCTGGCTCTTAAAAAAAAAAAAAAAAAAAAAGAATTTATGGCTACCCGGCGTACCACAAGGCTCTGTGCTCGGCCCAATTCCTTTTCTCATCCGCAGCTCTTCTGCAGCACTCAGATCTCATTTCCAAGCTCCTCGGTTTCTGTGGAGACGTCTCCGTTGGCGATCTTGGTGTTCTCCTCATAGCCGGGGGGCATGAAAGCTAACGTGTACGGATAAAGCTTGTGACACTCGACGCGGTATGACTCCGCGTGCTCCTTAGAGTCTCCCAGCGAGCCGCTCCGAAGACACTCCAGGACTTCTGTGCAGGTCTGAGTTTCATAGGAAGAGGAGACAGGACTGGAATTAACAAATACATTCACCCATGATTCAAAATCCAACGTTTATGAGTAAAGGCTCTTCCATTTTTTTATAAATGATTTAAGGAATAAAACATTTTGTATGCAAAACAGTAACAGTTCATCTTTGAACCTTTAATGAAAATACTTAAAAAAGCAGGCATTATGGTGCAACGCTGGATAAAACAATGTTGCTACTTACTTACATTATTAATTTGAAGGTACTGGATTCATACCTGAATAGTTCTGTTGTTCAGAGACTCATCCAGTGATGTGGCCAGTTCTGCTGCTTTAGCTTCCGTTGACGAGTCCAGATACGCCATCATCTTAGCAGCTGCAGGACGAATAGAGTGTGAAGCAATGCAATATCGTGTTTGTAAGGGTAAAACAATCATTTCTTCTGCACCGTGCCTAAGTTCATCAAAGCTCAGGTGTTTCAAACTTTCTAGAGTTGCTTTAGTAGAAAATAACTCACATTAAATAAGCAAAGTTTTCAATCTGTGATGGACTTTTAGAAAAATCCTAGTAAATTAGCATATGTATCCCATAGTAATGATAATGTGTAGCCTTATTATACCTGGGTTAAAAGTAGTAAAAATTATACATAATTAATTAATATCACAGATCTTTGATGCTAAATGATTTATTATATCTGTATATTGGCCGATCAAAGACCCCAAAGTGTGTGAGTAGTTAACCAGGTCTTACCGACTAGAAACACTACCAGAACTTTTTTTTTATTCAACTCCAGTACTTTGAGCACATATTCTAAAGAATATAACATGACAGGGAGCAGAAGAGGCTCACCAGCCAGGCGGTGTGGTATGGAGTTGGAGTGCTTGCTGAGGTAGGCCTGGTTGAAGCTCTTGGGGTTGCTGTCTCCAAACAGCCGTGTGATCTCCTGCTTCAGCACTGTCCTGACCACCTCCGGCAGCTCCTTGCTCTCCGACACTTAACAGATAAAGACAAGTTAAGGATGGGTTAGAGACTTTAACAAAGGAGAGGAGAGGCTGATTACATGAGATCATCATCAGGAACGGGGCCTTACCTCCTTTGAAGAAGCGCACCAGACACTGGTGAAGCCAAGGGTGGTCTGGATCAATGGCCAGGGCTCTCTTCACCGACTGGAGCATCAACAGGTATTTATCTGTGAGGAAAAAACAGATTAGGAACAAATAAAAAGAATAAAAAGGAAAGGTGGAGTTTCCTCCTTTAGGAACCAACCTTTCCTGAAGTAAATCTCAAAGGCCAACAGGTGCGTCTCAATTTTGTCTTTAACCAGGTGCTTCAGAGGCGTTAGGAACTTCACCGCTTCCTCCAGCGGACTTTCAACCTGTAACGGGACACATAGACAACCAGGAATCCCAATGACATCAGATGAATCGGCTTTAGATCATCTGCTCCCTTCCTGATCTCTAACCTTGACCAGTTTCTCAGGAATGAGCTCCTCCTTAGGCCCTCCGATTTCCTCATCATCATCTTCCTTCTTCTTTTTCTGGTTCTTTAGCTGCTTCTCCTTCTCTGCATTCTTCTTCTCTTCCTCCAGCTGGGCCTTCTTCAGAGCTCTTCTCTGTTTGTTCCTAAGCTTCTTCAGTTCTTTGTCCGACAGGTTGGCTGAAAAATAAAGAGGAGTCGACACTGAATCAAAAGTAGTTTATAGAGGACGTCACTTCAAAAGAGAACTGGCCAGTAGGTGGGAAAAGGAAAACTTTAACTATTTCCTCTGACTGACCAGTGTCTGCCTGCAGCTCTTTGCTGTCATCAGTCAGGGGATTGTCATGGAGGCTGAGGTAAATCTGGATCGCTGTGGTAGCAGCCTTGTAATAGAAAGGATGCATCCGGAGAACATCCTCCAGCTTTAGGAGGTCCACGTAGGAGCGTAGCGTCATTTTCCTCATGCAGTAGGTGTGAAAGTCGAACTGGTCATCCGTGATCTCCACAAAATGCTGAGCAGAGCAATGAAACAAACAGTTTTAGCCCAAACAGAGGGACGGTGCTTGATGCAGAAGTAGCGAAGACGCACCCTCTCTATCTCGTGACACTTCTTCAGCGCTTCTCCAAACTTGTTCATGCCCTTGTAGGCGAGCGCACATTCAGTCTGGAACCACATGCACTGCATCTCGTTCAGGTTCTCCACCGCTGACGCCCCCTCCTGGGAAATCAGAAGCACAGGCCGGAGCGAATGTCACAACAGGGTTACTCCAGGAAACACTGGATATTACTCCTAATGAAAACAATCGTCTATACCTGCCTTCCCACCGATCAGTGCTCATAGTCAGAGCATCCAAAGTAAAGCTGCTACATACAGGCTGGCTATAAAGTTAGCATGATGCTATCATATAAAACTTCAAATTCAGAAAATATGCTATTTGCTCATTTTTGTTCTGCAAAAAAATTTTCAGAAAGCACAGAATCAGAAACGGGAATTCTTACATTTAGCTCGTTAGCTTGTATTTGAAATACATTTTTTTTTTTTTTTTTGAGTGCCACTTTTCAGGGAATTACTTAACAGCTGTGGCAATATTTTTATGGAAGTATTGTTGCAGTTAGTCGTTTAAAGATAGAGAGACATTTTCTACTACCTTTAGCCATCTAGACTTTAGAAGAATTAACCCTTTTGATTCAAGATTAGATCAGCATAGTTTAAATTTGTAGATAAACATTTGATCCTTGACTAGGATGGTTCAGGCAGGCCTCAGCTCAGGGGAGGCACAGAACATGTGTGCTTCAGCAGCGCTGCCGTGTGAACATCTACTCTCATAATTTGTGTAGAAACTAAATCAACATTAAAAATGTCTATGACCAATTAAAGCTCTAAGTATTCATAATAGCAGATAATCATAAATACGGTAGCTGTCAATATAGCAAAGAGAAGGAAAAACAAACACATGACTGATCTGCTGAATTAAACGTCACTTAAACAGGCTAGTCTTGTTGTTCTGAAACTTCTTCGCCAAGGTGCAGCTCACCCGTGTGAACTTGGAGCACATTTCCTCCGCCTCTTTGATCATGCCAGCCTTCAGCATGTACTTGGCACACTTGGAGTTGATGAATCTGTCAGCGGTGTCCAGAGCCTGGGCCTCGTCCATCCACTGAGCGGCCTCTCTGATGTTCCCAGCATGCTGCATGATGGAACAGGAGCGTCAGTCAAGCCAAAGCCCTCCTCCCAGATGTGCGGTGGGGAGTTTTCGTACCTTGTAAATCTTGGCTTTGATGAGGAAGAGTTCGATGAGTGTGGGCGTGCTCTCGATGGCTGTGTTAATATGTTCTAGAGCGAGGGTCTGCTGGCCAATCATGTCATAGTGTTGAGCCAGGAAGTACTGCACCCAGAGTAATGTGGTTGGAGGTTCCTCCTTCCCATCATCTGAAGCAGTGAAAGCATAGTTTATTATTGAGATACTTCTCATTTGAGGAATAAAATGTATAAACTGGTCATCCATCCATCCAACTCACCGTTCTGGCTAAACATTCGACAGCTTTTCAATGATGTTTCATAGCTGACCACCAATTCCTCTATAATTGCCACCTGGGAAGAGAAAAGACAAAGTAGAAGATGTCACCTGCATCACATTTCTTTCAATCTATAAAATCTTCCACTTTCCCCATTTACTCCCCAGAAATGTCCGTTGCTGCAGAGATCTCACCTTTTCTTTGTCGCTGTACAATGATTTGAGCGTGGTGAAGACAGGCGGACAGCCTTTACTAAAGTTCATCCTCAGATATCTATCCAGGCACTCCCTGAACTTCTCACCTGCACAAATATTTAAAAAAACCTTTAAATGCTTCTCCTGTCAAAATTTAGAAACCACTACATCTAGAAAAGGAGATCCCTAAAAAGAGAGATGGATCCCAATTTCCATTTAGATTGGATGCATTATAAAATCTACCAGAGAGAAAGTTGAGTGGCAGCCTCCGAGGAACCAGCCCCTTAGGAAACTTCTCCCAGGTTTCTTCATAGATCTTCAGTTTCTCCTCAACGCTGCCTGATAAGAGAAACAAAATGTGGTTGTCTGTCATAGAACCACTTTGGTGAACTTTATGATATCCAAGCCAGAGATGATGGGGGATCTCTATGGATGAGAGTCAGGATTCCTACTTGGCTTTAGGGCTTTCTCCAAACCATGGTAATACGACCAGTTCTCCGGGTTCCTCTCCTGCAGACGCCTGTAGACCTCAGTAGCTTCATCCAGACGCTCCAACTTCAACAGCAACTCTCCTGCAAGAACACCACTGTTAAGCTCCCACACAAACGCTGCAAGGGAGAATGATTCTGACATCTTACAGATCTGTAAGGATGTTAGAGAGAAAATTAAACAGACAAAAGCACATTATAGTACAGAGTAAATATTTACAAATACCAGATAATTAAGCATTAGATTTAATCAAACATCCATGTCAACTGAAGGTGTCCCTGGACAGGACATTAGGGGTGACTAACTCTGGTACTACAGAGCCTGTGTCCTGTTCATTTATGTGTTCCACTGCCGCAGTTTCAGCCCCGGCTACAGGTTCCTAAGACTGGAAAACGTCATGCCTGGATTAGAGCGGTTTGTATTAAACACCCAGGCCATCCAAAGCAGATTTGGAAAAATTTACACCAAAACTGAGAGCTGATAATGTCAGCCCCATGTCTACCTTCCAAGGATTCATACAGGTCAACCTGTTGATGTCAGAGAGCTTCTATCCAGATGATTACAGACAGATACGGGGACAGTTTTAAAGCCATGCTCTATAGCTGTGTTAAAGGAAAGTTATCGATTTATGAATCATCTTAAATTGATTGATCTTATTATCAACTAATAACAATTAACAATTAATGAATTGAATTGATAAGCAGCCATATTGTTAAAATGTTAATTTTCTCTTTTATCAAGAGGATCTTTACATAATATAATTTATTATATTTTATCATTTAAAAAATAAATAAATTATGTTAGAACAGTAAATTTACATTCTTATGTTTATATTACTGTTTTTATGTATAATTTTTTACTATTTCTCAAGGCGACACTTTTAAAAAGATTCAATTGTCCAGAGAGCTTTTCCAAACGAAATCTCTTTTTCTTTTACACTTGTGTAAACAAAATTACAAATAATCTGTCTACGTCCAAGTCTAACTATAATAAAAGTGTATTATATTTTCCCGATATAATGACAGCTGTGTTACAAAAATAAATACAGTTTTTACTGAAAATATCTTTAAAAGTGCTTTTTTATTTAATTCCTTTATGACTAAAACATCATTTGATGAGCAAAGTGACACCTCTGTAGCACAGCACCGATGCATCTACAAGTATGCATCCTATTTTTCTGAATGTACTTTGGATCAATGTTCAGCGAACGTGAAGCCAACAAATCCATGTTAAATGAGTCCAATCCAGCAATCAAAGTGTTATTTTCAAGATGGATTTTGTAGATATTCAGAAGCAACAGTCATCCAGTTGGATGTTGGTCAAACAATTGGTATCAGAGTGGAAAAAGAAATGGTCACGATTTTTAAGGCATACAAACTGACGTTACAGTCTATGGGATATGTGGGGCATGAGAACAGGTGCGGGTCTTAAAGCAGGATTTTAATCTGATACCTTGATTCAATGAGGAGTTATTTAACAGATTACAAAAATTGTCTGTTCCTAGCTCTATATACTAGACTTAATTTCAAATTTCCTGCTAGAAATTAGAGATAGCTGCAGCTTTAATTAAATGTAAAAGAAAATGGCTTGCTATATATGTTTGCAAATTCTGTTGAGTTTATGAAGGAAAAACTAGCAGCTGTTGGTCAGCTATTAAAGGTGCAGTGTGAACAGGAAGAAATACAACTAACTTGATATTCTTTTGTTATTTAAACAAACAAATACATCCCCAAAGCATGATGCCACCACCACCATGACACACCATGGAGTATATCTGTTCCATGTCTCAACTTAGACACACATGTCTGCTGCAGACTAAAGGTATGATTACTGGCAGCTAGTGGTCAAGTTGGAGGAGAGTTAAAGCGACTCACCTCGCGTCTCCTCCACTGCAAGTTTATCGCAGATCTGCTTCTCATAGTTGGACAGATGATCCAGGGCCTCTTTGTACAGACCTGCTTCCCTCAAAACCTGGTTCTGGTACAGCAGCAACTCGCTATACTCATAGTCCACTTTGTCTGGAGAAGTCTGGACAGAAACATGCAGGAAATACACCTATATGACCCACTGATACAAATGAAAACAAAAAAACCTGCTGGCAGCTTTCCAACCGCTCAGGAAACACTGAATTAAGCCCCGTTTATGACTGCAGCTGCTGGTTGTGCTCCACTGAGGGCATAAAAGCAGGAAGCAGACTAATCTTATCACCTCTCCACAGTTGAGCACTGAATTCAGCGGTAAACTGGTAGCTAAAGAGAAACAACTGGTATGTAAATCAACGTTGAACCCTTTACTGATCATAGAGCAGCAGCTCCTGGTTCTGATATTGCCTCCATTCCAAAAGCTTTTATTGTATCTAACCTGCTGTGTTTTTCTGAACTCTTCGATGATTTTTGCAGCCATTTCATAATCTTCCAGAAGGTGATAGGCGATGGCATAACCAATCCATGAGGCCCTCTGGGCCGGGCGCAGCTGCAGGAGCTGGTACCTCGTCTCCTATGGAAACAAAACAAGATATTGGTTTGTGCTTCAAACGATGTGTGGGATCTCAGTTTGGAGGTCTGAAGTATACAGTTGTTTGATGTGTGGTGGAGGAGAAGAGCAGGGACAAAGAAAAGGCTGAAGGCCACGGTGTAGACAGCAGGTTGTCTTTGCTGGGTAATGATATCGGGATATTGGTAGCTGGCTCAGTCAGAGCTAACAAATGCTTTCTGTGACCCTTACTCCGAATTTTAACTGTTTCACTCACATTTTTTTTTATTCTTTTAACTCAACCTTTATCTCAGCATTTCATTTTCCTGCTAGATGTTCATCCCAGGAGAGTTAATGTGACAACAGCTCTGATACTCGTCTGCTTCCCTCCACAGATCAGGGCCTGAGGCAGGGGGTGGGGGCTAACCAAACTGTGTGTACTCCCAAATGTTGTTTCCTCACTAACAATGGAGATCTTTTTCTTTTTTTTTTTTCCATCTTTCCCCTAGCAAAAGGTCTAACTTTTTTTTTCCACCACAGGCTGCAGGACTTCAGAGGATTTCCTGTGGCCTCAAGCTTTAAATCACCAAGAAACAAGTGACTGGAGCCTCACCCTGTATCCCTCAAGGTCTCTCATCTGGATCTGCAGCAGCGACAGGTCTCGAAGGATCTGCAGGTTGTCCTTATCCCACTTTAAAGCATTGCGGTAACACTTGATGGCCTCGTCGTACTTCTTGTCCGAGCGCTGCAGTAAGCCGTAAACGTGCCAGCCTGGGATGCAGGGGAGTGTTAAGGAAAGAGTACACACTGTCCATCCAAACTATGCGAGACCACTGAACAAATGGTCAGGATAATGGGTCAATAGAGGCCTGTCAAAGCAAAGCATTTTAATCACCACCGTAGCAGCACCGTTTTGGGCTCCGATCACTAAACTTTTACAAAAGAAACGAATAAAGGTGGCAGAAAATAAACAAAGGAAGATTTAGCTTTACTTTAGCATACTTTATAACTTCATGAGTTTTCCAGACTACAGGCAGTTCTAGGATCACTCATCTCACATCATACAAATGTGTCCTTCTGACTTCTTTAACATTAACATTTATATCCAACAACTTTGGCGAATTACATGTATATAGTAGGTTGGATTAAACCATTTTATACTTTAAAGGTGCTGTAAGACATCTTGGAAAAACAGTTCCAGCAAACAAAATTTTTGAAAACACACAACCATGCCTCTCCCTTCAGATCACCCCTCGAAACCACGCCTTCAAAACAGAAGAACGTGCATGCTGTCTGTCAAGGTGATCGGATGTTTCCCAAATCGAGAAGGAAACAAGCCAAGAGCACTCGTGACACAAGCTAACAGCAACATAACCGTGGTTAGCTTTCAGCCATGACGTCCTCTTCTGCGTCTGCGGTAAGATTGTTCAACATCTCAGTGAACGTAAGCAGGCAGTGACGGTTGTAACTTCAAGTAATATTTCAGACTGATCTGAATAACTCGCAGACCGACCATGGCTTAGAACTAGGTAACATGACGGCACTGGTCCTCGCGCCAGCACGAGCATTGGGAGGTCGATTTGTTCATGTGTCAGGTTACGCGCACAGGGGGGAGGGAGAAGCAGACGACCCTGATTGATGTGTCAGGAACAATTAGTGGTCCACGGATCGTGTTTTGAGATGGGTGTACGTTACTCATTGATTTCACACTGCAGACCTTCTGTTTAAATCGCTTGATACGCAGCTGTGGGGAGATCTTAAAAGCCACATGGCAAAAAATGTGAGAGAAAAGATCTCCTACGGCACCTTTAAAACAAAACCCCGCTGGAGTGATAGAGAAAGGTGGAGAAATTCCATTAAATCACCACAAAATCTCTGAAACAGATTAGTGAATAAAGGGAATTGTTGATCAGCTTCTTCTTTTTGAAAGTTCTTATGTGATTCATAATCAGACAGCCCTTTTGCTACACATTCAGCTTCTTACTCCAGATAAGGGCAAAGTAAAGCTACAGAGATATCGCTATGTCACTGAGCTAGACGTTATCAGCAGGAAGAGTTCACAGATTTCATTCCTCAGAGAGGAAGAAGCGGCAGAAACCGAGCTGTATCGATGGAATGTGCTGCAAAACGATCTCTTCAACCAAACGGCAGCCTGTCCAGGTTCCGTTATGCAACACGCCCTTTCAGTGTAAAGATAGAACATGTCTCCACGGCATGCCGTGAGTAAGGATACAGACGTGGCTTTTGAGGTCGTTGCGGAGGCCTCTTCTCACCAGTTCGTAGGCCTCTTCCTTCTTTCCCAGACAGTTCAGGGTCAAACCTTTCATGGCCAATGTCTCTGTGGCGAGAAAACCCCATAGAGCAAACCATGAGGATAACGGTGACAGAGAGGGAAGACTCATTGACCAGTCAATATTATTCTCTTACCTCCATGTTCTGCAAATTTGGGGTTGGACAGGATCTGTTTGCAGAACTTGAGCCCATTTCTGTATTGTTTGTGCTCGTAACATCGCTGTGAAGAAAAAAGGACACATTAGGGGACAGAAACCACACAGATATCTAGATTAAAATGATACTCATACATAAGCCTCTATGGAGGTAAAAGCAAGTTTACTTCCAAAGAAATCGACTAGAGAGAAAGGAGTAACAGTATTTTTATCATCTTCAAATTTCAACAAACCACAACAGACTCCAAGTCAGTTGGTACCTTACAGTTAATATTAGGGGATGTGGAAGACATTGCATTTCCAATATTATATGGCTATACAATGATTGCAGTTTTGGCAAAAAAGGTTTTGATTATCTGTAGCTAAAACAATCTTTCAGCTTCGAAAAAAAAACCCCACTTAAAATCAGACCAATTTAAGATTGATCACTCAAATAAATGAGTTATCTCAAATAAATCTATAAATGAGACCCATCATTCTTATGGTTAAGGCTTGCAGCTTAGAAAAGTAAAATATAGAGGACATGAAATGGATTTTAAATTCAGAAATCATGAGGACAATATGAAAAAGGGTTTGATGGTTTGTAAACTTGAAAGACAGCAGTCAGTCACTGACTTCTTGTACCAGGAAGATGAGCTGCAACAGCCCACTGCCAGAGTTGAAGGAACAGTAGGAAACAAATGGTTGAAGGATTTGAAGCGTAGATCATTGAACAGACAGGAAGAAATTAAAAGGATGTAGTCAGGAGACAGGAGGTTCAACTGTTATCCTCAGTGACCTGGCTCTGAATCAAATCATGGGACGTTCTCAGCCGCCATCAAGAGCTGCAGATGTCTGTATCGCCAATATATAGGACAGCTGGTCCTAAGGATGGGAGTTGGAGACAACCATCCTAGACAAGACATCAGACCCAACAACATGGACAAACAAAACATTTCCTTCAAACTTCAGCAGTGCCACAAGAAGAACGCCTCCACACCGCAGTGGATTGGTGTAGCAATTCATGCAAAAGGAGCTCCAACCAAGTATTGAATGGATATTATAGGTCCCTGTAAAACTCATTTTCAGTAGGCACTCATTTCTGATTTAAAAAGCTATTAATATTTCAGTTTTCTGAGCAACTGAATATACCTTTTATTAGCTGCAAGCCATAACTATTCAAATAATCAAAGACTTTTTTTTACTGAAAGGCAGCGGCTTTATTTAGAGACACAGTTGCACAAACGCTACATCACCACTTTTGTTAAGCCGATTAGCGGCTGTCAGGGGAGACAACGTGATTTTACCACGAGAGGAAGAGCTAAGCTGGCAGATGGCATTTCGTTGCCCCACAAATGACTAAAACAACCCAAAAAAGGAGCACGTCCACTTTATATATCAGCACCACAGTTGGCAGGGATATTAGGTTGTTGATTAAATGTGCTGCTGACCATTACAAAAAGGACAATGTCTGATTTGACAGTTTTGGGCTTTAATGTGATTCTTTCTACCTTCTGTCTGAACAATGTGACATAACTTGTTTGTCTGGACTAATAACCATTTTCCGAACACACACCAAGCTTGTCCTTCATGCCTGAAAAGCCAATTCATCATATTAAATGAATAGCTGCTGGACAGCACCTAACTTATTACCTTTACTGTACTAAATGCAGTTTGTACAACGTTATAATTAGGAAAATAAAGACAATTCAATGTAAACACAGAGTTTATTCTGACGGTGGAAGTGTTCATAAAGAAAACCCACTTTAACTGTCTTCGAAGTTTGGAATCCTGCAGAACTGGTCAAATTTGACATTAGAAAGGTTAACCTTAAGAAACCCGATTAAGAAAACATTGCTGATGATGAATTTTGAGGACAAATTTTAAACTTTAATACCAGCAGCTGTCCGCTCTCTGCATGGTCTTTACAGAAATAACTTGACTCCATGATTTAGAGAAAAATCAGCGGGAGCATGTGCTTCGCGGCTGCAGGTCTTGCTGTGTGTGTTGAAACTTTTCAAAGTTCGTTCTTAGTAATGACTACGTTCTGTTTGAAAGGAAGAGTACGGGAGAAAAAAAAAGCCACCACTTACAAGCTTTCAGGTTACTGAACATTCATTTCTAAGCTGTAGAAACACTAAAAACGGTGCATTTAAACCAATAGCCAGATTCAGACAATTATTTGAGAGATCAGACTCCTTTTTAACAATCAGATAATCTGGAAACAAGTCAATATCTGATGTCTGAGTATTTGCAAAGTTTTAACCTTTACAGATTTACAGGCTTCAGAAAATATAATGAAAGACAGACAAGAACAGCATTTAAAACATTTCATCATCTTTCCACCCCGAGTGGTCTCATCTAAATTATATTAAGGAGCAAATGTGGCAACAAAACTAAACTAAACACATTTAGTTTTGAAAAAGTTTTGAAAAAACAAAACATGAAGATGTGATTCATGGCTGCTCCTTTCAGGGGAGCACAGACTTGCCGGAGTTTTAATCCCTGCTAATGCAGGGATTCAAACCCAGCAACTCTGTATCAACATGAAAACTTTGCTTCACTACAGAGGGATTAAACAGGATGATGGAATTTACATTTCACACCAACCAAATGCTGGAAACATTTCTTCTTGGTTGACTTTTCTGCACTCCCCTGAGCCTACCTGTTATCTTTTCAAAGTCCCCCTCTAACTCACCCTCTTACAATATTGATAACATTCAGGCATCCCATGTAGATAATAGCTTTCCTTCTATAGATTCTTACATTTCTATATGTCAACACCTCATTGGTTCCGAAAATAAGTAAACAATTATTCCTTTACTTAGAAACAGCCTCCCCAGAATGTGCCGTTATCAGCGAAACCTGTGGATCTTGCTTGTGGTCCATCTAAATATTTCCTACATATGTAGATCCAAACCATTACCAACTTCTTCCGGAGCCATAAATGAAATGCATAAAAAAATAACTGATATGTTTTGAGTCAAACACGGATTTTGGAAACAAAGGCAGGTGGACAGAGGCCACCCAGCTAGTATCAATGTTTACGAATTCTCGTGTGCTCAGACTTCTTCTACAAATATCCTGTGGAGAAGTCAAGGTTGATAGTATCCAGTATCTTGCAAAACAATAAAATCATTGTATTTCTTTCTATTAAAAGAAATACAATACTTATCTGAACATGTGTCAAGGTTTAGTAAAATCCTACCCATGAGAGCAACATTTGTGCCTCCTAACAGCCCGTGTTTCTCAGCAGAATATTTCATGAGCATTGTGGGTGGGCTGTAGCGTGTTCACCTGCCTCAGTGAGCCGATGACCGTCTTAAAGGTGCAGGGTTAATGATTTCAGTGCTTTCCTCATGTATACATGCAAATAAGGAGGTCAATTATTAAAAAACAATTTCTGTAGCCGTTACGCTCAAAAGTTAAGATATCAGCATAATTCCATTGTAATTCTAAAAGTTTTTGCATAAGCAGCGTCTGTGCTGTAATATGCTGGGGAGGAAGCCCAGATGTCAGTTAAAGGGCCAGATGTCAGTTAAAGGCACATTACGCTCATTATTAATTAGCCTAATTTTCAGCATAAATTACTTTTTTTTTTTTGAGTAACGCTTCGTTACACTGAAATAGGCTGGCAAGAACCCTGCAGTCAATGATTTAGTTGATATTCTGCCAACATATGACAGATAAACAGCTTGCAATTTGCTTAGATTTGTCCTGGTTTTATCGATGGTCATAATTTATCCAAATTCTAAACCTGACCAGTGGTTCCAAACCCTGTTCCTCTGGGACCTCTGTCCTGCATGTTTTAGGTCTTTCCATGTTGCATCACACCAGAAAAGAATGGATGATCAACAGGCTTCTGCAGCCCTTGATTGAAGAGGAGGAGCCCTAATTTGATTCAGGTGTGCTGAAACAGAAACAGCGATGGAGCTAGTCAAGAGGGTCCGAAATTAACCCTTTGACTCACTGGCCAAGATGACTAGGAAATTTATTTTTTTTAAGCAACCAAGCATATTTTTTACCGGCCAGGAAACAACAAATGTTTGCTCTTATATTTCTATGGAACATATTTACTAAAAGTACCAGTAAAAGGTAAAGTAGTTTTATCAAATCAAGTTTTGTTTTAGAATTTCATTCAAAAAAGTGCAAATGCAAAATGCTTTTACTTGATAAAGTGGCTGTAAATAAAACCATTCAAAAAACAAAACTATTTAAATCTTTTATTTGTTTTTTGAGTTTTTACCGCACTAGTGGCTCGTTTTTTTTTTTTAACAGTATGCTGACTGAAAAGGCGGTATGAGAGAGGGGGAGAGACATGCGGCAAAGGACCCCAGGCACTCACTCCCCCTCACTGGTATGTTGTTTTTTTAGAAGGCTTGGTTACTCTAACTATATACCTAGCATTAACTACCTAGCAGCTGAGTTGTTGTTAAATGACGGGATGTTGGGGGAGTGCTCTCTGTACGTGCATCTCTCTATTGATGGGTGAGGAACAGAAAGCAGAGTAACAAAGGTACATAGGGGAGACTTACCAAAATAACAGATGAAAGGACGTCACTGATGTGCAACTATTATCCAAACTAGGGCTGCAACTAAGGATTATTTTGCTAATAGATTAAATTGTCCATTATTTTTTCAATTAATTAATTATCTGATGGCCAAAGATTACTTAA